CTCGAAGTTATTGTTATCCTGAACAAGTCTCTGAAAAATAATACAACTTACTTCAGATAGCTTTCTGTCTGAGACAAGAGACGATCCATCTCAGCATCCTTTTTCTCATACAATTCCTTTCCAACCCAAGGCAAAGATGACAAAAATGCAAATATGTACCAGTCACATCGCACCTACAGGAAAGAAATATTCTGAGACTTAAGCACACAATTAAGCTCCAGAAGATTTTACATAAACATTGCATTTTACTTTAAACTACTGTTTTGTGGTGACACAAAGATCAGCAACTAAAGACTGGATAGGCAAATCATGAACAGAAAAACATGTATTACTGGTTAAAATGTACAATTTTTAACTTGAACTACGACAATCAGACTCGAAAATGATCACTTTCAGAGTCTTTCTGCAGATTATCTTCATATTTTGAGTGTAAACAAACCTGGCAGAACAAGCCAGACACCATGCAGTTGCTAAGGTAAAGATTTATTTAGTGCAGATACCTCACTACGGAGGCCCACACTTTCTTTCTGCACAAGCATTTCCTAAATGCCAGGGGCCACTTTCACTCATACCAAGGAACATGCAGATACCGCTCCATCTAGGTTGCTGCCTCTAAAACCTTCCTGCACCAAGCACAAAAGCAGTGGTAAAGTAATGGCGCCTGTGAGAACAGCCATGGGGGAGCCTGCAGATTTTTGGCTTACTTGTGGTACGTCTTCCTCCTGTGTCACGCTCACAAAGTTCTCAAACATAGCCACCATCGAAGGTGCAGCTATGACATGACAATTCACAAGATCAGACAGAAAACGAACCTAAAAAAGTCCAAAAAAATGCGTTTCCAAGATAAACATTACTTGAATAACTACAACCAAAAGATATGGGTAATCATTCAGTACTAGGAAGGCAGAAATACTGCACACTGTACAGGTACACCTGGCAAACACAAGGAACAAATAACATAAGCACAGTCGAATAGTTTGTCCATTATAATGTCCACAAGGTCAGTCTGTAATAATTGTAACATTACAACTCCTGATGATGACAGGGTAGGAAACACCAGGATGCATTTAAAAGCATTCAAACATGTTACAGAACACAGAACATCAACAACCACATTTTCTCTCCCCCAAGTGGAAAAAGACCACTAAAATTACAGAAGTGTAAAAAAGAAAAATAATAAAAGCCTTCTTAAATGATGAAGATAGATTGATCGGTTTCTTCATGAGTGCAGAGGTGAGACAGAAATGGCAGGGTTGAATCTATACACCATTTAGAGTCTTTCAGACAAGATAAATTTCTATAGTTAACTGTTCATAAATACAGATAGCTACAGAGAGAAAGCCTGTGCTAAAGGTGACTGCGTCGTCAGGTCTCAGAAAGGTGACAATGACTAGGAGGAATCAGCCTTTGCAATGAAAACATTCATCCTGGCAGGAATACATCATTGATCTGGAGGCATACTAACAAGAAATCCAGACTGACATAAATGACAACTTAAGTAGAAAATAACTGGAGTACCGCAGTGGTACACGTTATACTGGAAGTGCTTCCTTCTCCTCCTTCCTCCCTCATCAATCTTTTGATTTGGTTGTACCCTGTTTTGATGTAACTCAGCTATTGCAGCAATCTCAAGAAACAATTAAATTCTAACAACAACAATCTCATTTTTTTTTTTTTTTTTTTTTTAAGGCTTAGTTTTTCTTAAGGGTGTCCTCTCTCTCTCTCTCACACACACACACTCACACTCACACACACACAAGTCTAAAAAAAATAAAAAAACAATCAACACAGCAAAATACACCAAAAAAAGGCATTTTTTCATGAAGACCTACCACTGGGAAGAAGCCTTGGGAAAGAAAGCTTGAGCTAAGCACAGTGCAGTGCTCAAAGAGCACTTTCCCAATATTAATTGCAAAGAACAGCCTTTGACGTGCCTCTGACAGAGCTGAGAACAGCCTTCCTCTGCCACTCTCTTAATTGTCATTGTCTCACAGGTTGTTTGTGAGTGAGCACAACCAGCAAACGTGAAGCTGAAGACAAAGGACAGTGCCTTCAATAGTGTGATGAGAATTCTATTCCCAAAGAAGTCCCACTGCCAAACAGCAGTCTCTTGACAAGCTGCACTGATATACTAGAAATTTAATTTTCACCTATGGGCTTCAAACGAAGCAGGATAGCTTGCAACTGGACTTCTCACTTATGAAACCTCCAAAGTGAGAGCTCTCAGTGAGAGCTCAGCAAGTGGTTTCAGAGAAAGCACTAGCAACTGCCTGCTTGATGCCGACCCTCTTTGGGAGACAGATAACACAGGCCTGGTAGCAGCCATGAAGCACTGCTTTAAGACTGAGACTTTTTTTTTTTTTTCTTTCTTACCTCCCATGGGAGCCAAAAGAGCAACGTTTACAAAACAACAAAGTAAAGCATGAGTTTCGTTCACTTTTTATATTTTGCTGCAGAAAAGGCTGGCAAGGGTAGAATGACTTCCCTTGGCTGCAAGTTAATTTGCAACTGTGGAAGTACACATTTGGAACACGATTTGCAACTGTGACATGATTCTTCTCCCCTTGGGAAGGAAATACTCCACACGTAACATCTTTTCTCTTAGTATATCTATACAACACCATACACTGATGAAATGTGAAGACTGTAATACATGTAGTAAGGCCAAGCTCTCATGGAATTAAGAAAGGTGAAAGGGAGGAGAGAAAAAAGGTGAGAAAAACATCTAACACAAAGAGACACTTACTAAATGCACAGCTTCATTGTACATATTGACTTTCAGACATTCTTTAAGCTGACGAATCATGGCTTCTACAAATTCCCCACCAAAGTTGTAGTTCCTGGCATTCAGCAACCCAACTAGTGTTGTGTAAACAGTAAGCTTTTCTGGTAACAGACGTGCACTGACACAGAAAGAGAAACACGGTGTTAGCACTTATTCATCATAAGCCAAATGGCAACAGCATAGCAGCTCAGAACTTGCTTATAATAATTTAAACTTGTTTCATGTGGAAGTAACAGAAAGTGTTAACATGACGTTGTTCTGTCCTGTGGTTAATACTTTCAACTTTTTCTTTTTTCTTTTTTTTTTTTTAGGAAAGCAGATGTCACTTGCAACTACATTTAAGTTATTTGCTTTTTATTTATCTCCAATTTTGAAGTCCTCTGGAGGTCTGGCCAAGCAATGTAATAGAATTTATTCAAAGACTTAAAATATTCTTTTAGATTCATAATTTAGATGTAAATATTAAGACTGCACAAGATCTACACATTTTACACTGTTAAGTTGGATCCTAAGCTTCTCGAGCCAAAACAATTGATTTAGGGACATGACAGGGGAAAAGAGAAGAAAATGCTGGGTCCTACTGTAAACAGCTTTCCTCAACCTCTTTTGTACATCTGTAGATTAACTCCATATTTGCAAATACATCTCACTGCTACAGGAAAAAATGACATTATTATATCAAGACACATTCCTAGCAAGCATATTTAAAACACGTACAATGCTATAACACCAGCTGCTGGAAAATTTTCCCTCTCTGCTTCCTTCACACTGCTCTCATGCCCTGAGACAGCCCCCTCCACAAGCCCATCCTCACATAAGGCTCCTCTGCTCCTGTTGCTCATTAGGGAATGAATAGAGCACTGCCAGCAGCACCCCTGTGTTCCCAAGAACAGGCTCATTAATCAGAGTACCACATGGCCACAGCAGAGAAGTAGGCCATAGGAAGGCATCAGGGCAGTAGATATTGGCAGCCTACAGCTTCAGTGCCTTCATTTCTTCAGGAAGCAGGGTGCTACCCAGCATTCTGCTTTTGTTGCTGCTGGGGAGCAATACAGAACAGCAGTTCTTCTGCTTGAAGCCCTACATACAGTTCATGTTAACGTACTGCAAGGGAATATCTTCCTTAAGTTACACTCAGAACTCAATGAGTTCATTCCTCCTATTTCTTCTGCTTGTAGGGAAGCCAATTTGATATGGTAACAGCAGCCAAGGACTAAAAGCCACCACAGATGCTCAGGTTGCCTTAAACACTTCAACTTACACACCCAACACAAAGAAAGCGAGCACCCCTCAGTCCCCCCCCGTTCTTCTGCATACATACACAGTACACAGAATTCTTAGTATCTTGCTTTTGTAATTTGGTAGATCAGCTTCCAATACACCAGCTAGGCCCTCCAAGTTGCTCTCCAGGGATGAGTTACTCTACAGAAGGCAAAAGAAAAAAAGACAAAAAGAAAATAATCCAACCTCAACCAGACAACATGAAGCCTGACAGAGAAACCACAGGGTAAGAGCATCGCCCACGTCAGCCTGTGCTGAGCTCAGCTCTCCCCGCAGCTCCCTTTAGGGCGAACGATCTCTGCCATCCGATCCCCCCCTCCTCCCGGCGGGGCTTCGGACGAGCCGAATCCCCAGCTCTGGGACCATCCCAGCCGTTCGGGAAGCGCAGACGGCGCACAACGCAGCGGCCTCTCCTGGGGATCCCGCAGCGCCCACAGTACACAGCACTGCGGCCGACGGCTGCTCCAGCATCAACCCCGAGCCGGGCGTTTTCCGCCCCGCCACCACGCGGCCGCCACTCCTACCTTCTCCCCTACTCTGCAGATGAGCGACTCGAGTCTCTCCTCGATCTCCGACGGCTCCGACGTCCTCCGCCGCTTGTGAGGCTGTCCTGCTCCGACACACCGAGCACATCGTTACCGCCCGCCGCTCATCAGCCGCCCACCCGCCCCGTCCCCCCACCCCAGCCCGTGCCCGCTCAGGGCTAGGCAGGGAGAAGCGCGGGATCAGCCAGCGCTCACCAGCACTCACCATCGCTGTCATCACTATCGTCGCTGTGCCGCCGCCGCGACATGGCACCGAGCAAGAAGCAAGAAGCGAAAAGCGAACCAAACCGGGCCGCGCCGCTCCGCGCCGCGCGGGACTAAGACGACCGCGCTCCTTCCCCGCCCGCTTCCGGCGGCTTGGCCTCCACTTCCGGTTCCGCTTTCTGTCGGGCAGCACTTCCGGGGTGGGGTCAGCGGCGGGAGATGGCGCCGGGCGAGGCGCAGCCCGGACTGGGGGCTGTTCCGCGGGGTGGTGCTGGGCCTCAGGCGGCCGCCGCTAGAAAGCAACGCGCCTCCGCCCGGAAAAAGGTACATAGGAGGCGGGCACGGGGCGACGCGCCACTACTGCCCGTGGTAACGGCCGGCTGTCTTGCAGGCGTTCTCCCTGTTTGTCAAGGCGAAAGAGGTGCCGGCCGCCTGTCCGGGTGGCGGAGCGGCCGTGTGGTGGAGGTGCTGCCGGCAGACGTTTCGCGAGCGCCGCGGCATCCACCGGCACGTAGGTACGCAGCATGGCGGGGACATCGAACGGCAGGCGACCGGGCCCGGGACCGCCGGCAGGGCGGTGTCCGCTGAGCGGGTGGGAGGACGGGATTGCGGAGAGCTCTGCGAGGCGCTGCCCGACACCAGCGGCCTCCACCGTGAGGAGCTGACCAGGTAAGGCCAGACATCTGGCGGTACTGCCTTTTTATGGGACTGATGGCTCTCCAGAGGAGGCCACAAAATGATCGGGGCTGCAGCACCTTTCCTATAAAGATGGGTTGAGGGACTCTGGGTTTGTTCAGCCTGGAGACAAGAAGGCTGCGGGGTGACCTCATTGCAGCCTTCAGGACCTAAAGGGAGCCTACAAACAGGAGGGGAGTCAGCTCTTGGAAAGGGGAGATAACAGCAGGACAAGGGGAAATGGTTTGAAGTTGAGGGAGGGGAGATTTCAGTTGGATGTCAGGGGGAAGTTTTTGACAGAGCGAGTGGTGAGGTGCTGGAACAGCTGCCCAGAGAGGCTGTGGATGCTCCTTTCCTGGAGGTGTTCAAGGCCAGGTTGGATGGGGCCCTGGACAGCCTGGGCTGCTATGAAATGTGGAGGTTGGTGGCCCTGCCTGTGGCAGGGAGGGTTGGAGATTCATGATCCTCAAGATCTCTTCCAACCTGGGCACTTCCACTCTATGATTTTTTTATGCCCATCCTGCAGAAAGTTTGCTGGCAGCTCTCAAGGCTCTCAGGGGCCTTCAGAGAATTACAGAATCACCAAGGTTGGAAAAGACCTTCAAGATCATGCAGTCCAACCATCCACCTGTCACTAGTAGTTCTCACTAAACCATGTCCCTCAACACAAAATCCAAACATTCCTCACCTCCAGGGTTGGTGACTCCAGCACCTCCCTGGGCACCCCATTCCTTCTTTCCTGCTTCCTTGAATCAGGACTCTCTCCAGGAGTCATTTGATTTATTTGAACTCTCTTGAATCCCATGTGAAACATGATTCCTGATGCTGAAATGATACTTCCTTTTTCGATGGAAGCTCTGGGGAAGCAGGCTGTCAGAGTGGTATGCCTTTCTAAAACAGGTCTGTGCTATTTGAGATATGGGGTTTGTGAAGGAGAGCAGCAGTAGGAAGAAGGAGAACAGCACAGTTTGCTCTGTGTATAAATATGATTTATATGAAATATAAATATATAAATATAACTCTTGCTTTCCATTTTGTTACAGGAATCTGAAAATAGATTCAGTTTTTTTGGTATATTTGTGATTCTGTTGTTAGTCAACATAAATACATGACCTGCAAGTTATCAAATAGAATGCATAGAGTTGCACTGATATGTTCAACTCAAAAATCTAACCATCTCTTTACCAGACATTTATGAGCCCCCTCTTAGCACAGAGAAATATCCCTCTCTTCACAGTGAGACTTTATTTATGTCACCACTTTTTGGTAGTTTGCACAGTTGTTAGCAAATGTTTTCAGGGAGGAAGCACAGGAAGACTAAAATTTTGTTTCATAAAAGCAAGCTCCAGTGTCCCACTAGTTTTATGCTTTGCTGTCTTTTTTATGCTTTAACAACAAAAAAGGAGAAAATCATCTGCTTTTTAAGAGGTTGATGCTAATGATGGATTTTTGTGCTTTCAACTCTAACATCCTTTTCCTGTTTGTTTATCTTTGCTATGTTCTGGGCAGCAAGGTGGGAGAAGTACTTCTGTATTACTGCTACTGTGAGGTGAAGGATCCAGAGAAACTCTGTGCTTGGCAAAAGGCTCTCTGCCAGCATCTGCATCTCACTGGCAAGGTAAGGTTTTAGGCAACAGTCCTATTCCTTACAGAAAAGCATGCTCTTTGTTTACTCCAGAATGATGTGGCTTGCAAGGCAGCAAGTGTTTTACACCGCAAGGTGCTAGACTGTTACAGTTTTGTTAAGAAAGGCATCCTGGCTCTCTAAAGTATCATGTAGAACACAAGTGCAGCACGGCATGCCCTGAAGGCCAAGCTGGACGTGCAGCACACAGAGATTGGGGTCTGCTGAGTGTGTCACTACCAGGTGCAGTGGTTAGGGTCATGGCACCAAGCTGTAATTTGGACTTGTTGAGAATGAGAAGAGAACAACTACTGGCAGCTTTGGTCACACCACCCCATAGCAGTGCTTGTTCTTGCATGGTATCTTTGTTTACTTTGAATCATGAGAACAACTTTTCCGTGTTGTGAGAACAGCCTTTCGCATAATGTGAGCGGATACGAGCTGAAGGACAGGAGGCTTGCATAAATGTAAGCTCAAGTACGAAATGTGGAGGCTGTGAAACTTGTGGTCAAGTGAAGATAAGGAAGTAGAATAGAGATGTCCTGTTGTTGAGGGTAAGATGGCAAAACAGATGCCTCAGCTCAATGTAACATCATTCACAACCTGTGTGGTCTACCTCCCCTTAAAAAATGTACAGCAAGAATGACTATTTGGCTTCATCTCACGGCAACCAGAGGTGTTAATTACTTATTGGAATTTTGTAGAATCATAGAAATGGCCTGGATTGAAAAGGCCTAGCTGTAAGCAGGGTCACCAACCAGCAGCCCAGGCTGCCCAGAGCCACATCCAGCCTGGCCTTGAATGCCTGCAGGGATGGGGCATCCACAGCCTCCTTGGGCAACCTGTGCCAGTGCCTCACCACCCTCTGGGGGAAAAACTTCCTCCTAAAATCCAACCTAAACCTCCCCCGTCTCAGTTAAAAACCATTCTCCCTTGTCCTGTCACCGTCCACCCTCCCCAACAGCCATTCCCCCTGCAGTTTATACACTCCCTTCAAGGACTAATTCTAGGCTCAAAAGCTGGTGTTCCCAAGGGAGGTAGACTTTTTCCGAGAGGGTAACTCAGAGCAGGCCACTACTTTGATATTTGACTTGTCTTCCTGAAGACTTTTCTTTCTATGCCAATAGTAGGAGACCAGCCTCTGCGCCCTAAGATAGGCCATAGTAGGTTCAAGTGCATTACTGCTGCTGGCAGTAAAAGAGATATCTTTTTAATTTGTTTGGATGTCTACAGTGAATATCTGCCCCGTTTACTCATCTTTAGATATTATTTTTTCTTCTTTTTTGCTGTCTAACGTCTCCTGTGTTATTTGTTTGTTTTCTTATTTTTAGTCCTTTACTTCCTGGTATGGATTTTTTTTTTTTTTTTTTTAATTGTGATTGTTCATGTCAGTTCCTTGTGTCTTAGCTGCAAAGAAATTATTGTGTGAACAGTGTGTTTGCTGTTGTGCAGGATGGACTGTAACATCAAAGCATTGGGTTTTTAATCTTCTTACCAAAGATCCTATTTTTCTTCTTTCTGTGCTTCCTATTTTTTTTTCTATTTCTGGGAACAGGAATTTTTCAGGGTATTCTAACTGAGCTAACAGATTTGCATCCTGTCTAGTGTTTTTCTCAGAGCTGGTGCTGTTCAAAGCAGGATGGACTCAGCGCTCTACATTCTATAGACCCAACCTTCCTTGCTCAGAAGGAATGAAAAGAAGGCATCTTCCGTATTCTACATCTGCAGAGTCTAGGGGTGAAATGTCCTGATGTACTGACTTCTTTTCTTTGGCCCAGTATCTTGTCTGGTGGTTGGATAGGGGAGGAGGAAGGTGCCTCTTTTTTTTCCCCTTTCCAAATTGGTTCAGCAGTTGCCTTTTCAAATGCTTTTTTTTCTCTCTTGTATTCAGCCTTTTTTTTTTTTTCTTTTTTTTTTAACTCCACCTCAGAAGTTTTCGTTTGTGTCAGTGGTGTAGGTAAAATGACTCATGCTGACATTTAGTGTTGCCTGCTGTATTGTACATTATCACATTTTTCTTTCAGCTATCTGAGTTGTTGAGCACAGTCCCACTACTCTTCCTGAAGCAGAATTTCAGTAGGAATTTGAATGCTGACTGCAGTATTTGCTTGTTAATTACAGAATCACTCAGGTTGGAAAAGACCTTAAAGATCATCGAGTCCAACCACAACCCAACCATGCTACCCTACCTCTGACAGCCCTCTGCTAAATCCTGTCCCTGAGCACCACATGCAAACGGTTTTTAAACACAGCCAGGGATGGTGACTCAGCCACCTCCCTGGGCAGCCCATTGCAGTGCTCAACAACCCTTGCTGTAAAGAACTTTCTCCTGATATCCAACCTAAACTTACCCTGGTGCAACTTGAGGCCATTTCCCCTCGTCCTGTCAGCTGTCAGCAGAGATCAGCCCTGCTCTGCTGTGGGCACCTTTCAGATATTGGCAGGGAGCAGTCAGGTCTCCCCTCAGCCTCCTCTTCCCCACACCAAACAGCCCCAGTTCCTTCAGTCTCTCCTCATAGGCCACATTCTCCAAGCCCTTCACAGCCTTGTTGCCCTTCCTTGGACCTGCTGCAGCACCTCAGTGTCCTTCCCGTACTGAGGTGCCCAAAACTGAACCCAGCACTCGAGGTGAAGCCACACCAATGTCAAGTACAGGGCAGGATGAGTTCCCCAGTCCTGCTCACCGCTCCATTCCTGATCCAAGGCAGGATGCCATTGGCCTTCTTGGCCACCTGGGCTCACTGCTGGCTCATATGCAGCCCATCAGGCAGCTTTCCAGCCACTCCTCCCCAAACCCGTAGGGTTGCCTGGGAAGAACCCTACCAGTTAACCGGTTGTCATTTCTCTGTTTATTGCTCAAACTGTCAGTCAAAAGACTGTCAGTCTTTTGAAACAGCTTGAAAGCAGTTACTGTTTTTTTCATTCCAGTTTTTGGTTTACTGTGTTTTATTTTCCCACTCAACTTCACTGTAATCATCTTTGTCTCCTTCCCTGCCTCATTAATCTCTTTTCCAAGCCTACTTCTGTGCTTTTCATCACCGAATCTTATTTTGCTCATTTTCACCACAGTCTATTTCTGCTGGTACTAAGCTATAGGCCTGTTCTTCTCTTGCCTTCTAGGTACGAGTTGCTTCAGAAGGAATTAATGGAACAGTTGGTGGAAGCAAAGTAGCTACCAATCTCTACATTGAAGTTATGCTTGCTCAGCCTGTCTTCAAAGACATTTTGTGTCGAGATGATTTCAAGGTATGAAAAACTTGTTTTCTGCATAGGCATTGTTAATGCAGGACATATTTAAGAAATGAGCACGCTGGTTCTTAATAGTATAGTTGATGGGAAAAATTCTGCTCAAACAGGCTTGCTCAATTCTCTTTATTTCCCCAAAAAATAGACAGAGGAGAGTCTTTGGCTTTCTTCATTCAAATAAAGAGAGAGTCCGCTAAGGGCATTTCCCTTAGGTCTCAAATTGTCAACAGCCTCCTTTATATTCCTATCTCCTGACTGTGTGATCCCTCTTCCTTTCCTTTGTCTGAAGTCCTTGGAGGTTTTAGACTTCCCTGTCTGCCAAACATGTGTTTTCCCTGATATATAATCCCTCCCCCTTTGTATCATGCATCACAAGTATAATTAACTCCAACTTAATGCTGCTCAGGGTGGAGAATTTAGTATTAATTAGCCTATTAAGCCTGCGCAGTAAGTCCAAAGTTCATAAGTTCAAGTTGTTGATCAACCTTTGTAACTTAAGCTGTATTTGGTGAGAGTTTACAAATAAGTACAGACATGAAGCAGAGAGGAATGTGCAAGCTTCCACGCAACTTGCATGCGAGAACAGCTGGTCCACAAGACTCTTTTCTCTCAATACTTCAGTGGCTCAGTAGTAGTTCTGCTCTCTCTGTGCTGACCTAAGATAGATGTTCCTAAACTTTGTTTAGAAATCTGCTGGTACAAACAGCAGTAGCAGTAAATGTAAGCAGTGATGGCATCAGTTGCAAAGTCTTGTGGGCTGTACACAAGTGAAGGAGGGAATATGCTTGTGTTCTGCAAGCATTTACTCTCATTTGAATGTCAAAACCTGGGCATCACAATCCATGCAAAGAATTCTCATGGTCCTTACCTGCTGTTTCAGGTGTTGTGCAGGCTTTGCTGTCCTTACAGGTGCAGTGTCAATTCTGTGAATTGGATGTTTTGTAGGGAAAAAAGGCAATATATCTATACATGTATGGGCAGAGTCAAGTTTTTCATCCTTACTGCACTTAGTGCATAACTCTACTTAAGCCTGAACATATATGCTGATTACTGTCTTCAGATGATAGTGGCAGCTGTGTGCACCATATGGCTTTTTGGTGGGCTTTTGCTAAACCTTCACTGCATGTTGTTTTTCTGAGGGGGAGAAAAGCTGCTTTTGTTTTTTTACTTTGTTTTTTTACTACTGTTTTCTTTTCCACACAATTTTACTTGCAGGGAGTACCACTTTGTTCCTCGTAAATAACTATTGAAAAGTGTTAGTGAGACTTGTGACTCAGATCCCACATAGAACTACAGTGCTGATTCAGACTTAGCATTTTGTGTATTGAGTTTGTATGAAACACAGAGGCAAACCTGACCTGTTACTGTGCAGTTGCAAAAACGAAATATAGGTGGAATTTTACATTGGAAAAGTTTGCAGTCCTGCATGACCTCTCCAGGCACCAGCACTCATGCATTAGCCCACAGTGGTCTTTTCTGTGCCCTAGTTGCTCTGCATGTCAAGTGAGTGAGTGTTTCAAGTTCCTGTGCCAAGAAGATGGGAACGAATGAGGGAGTGTTGGGCCTGTGGCTGTGAAAATACTCAGTGGCCACTGTAGTTGCTGCAGACTGATTTCTGTGAGAACTGGCAAAGTGCTGCACTTTCATCAGTGTGTTTGTATGTTTCTAAACCATATTTGAGGCTTATTCCTACATTTTGATCCTGTCCTCTGCAGAGGGTTGCCTACCACAAAGCGTTTGCCATGACCTCCAAAGGTTGAGTATGGCAGGGGGAACAGTCTGTAATTTTGAAGACTTGCACCTGGCTTACCTTGCACATGTCTTTTTCAGTACTGAACCACTGCAGTTCCCTTTGCATATGACAGGAGGCATGCCCATGCTTGCTGTGGGGGTCAGAGGATCAGAAGAGATCTGCAGGCCCAGATGCATCAAAATGGTCTGTCACAATAAGAGATTATTTATTTACCATGTCTGCCAGGGTCAGTAAGCTGGGTCATGGCCCTGACCTTCTCGTCATAGGTGTTAGCAATGCTGTTTCTAATTAAGAAAGAACAGTTTTCTCAGCCTTACCACTGCTTGCTGACACCTGCCAGATGGGGCCTGACACACATGCTGGGTGGTCACTGGGACTTGACTGCTGGTGGTGGAGCTGATCCTAGCTGACCCTAGGCCTCCGGATTTTGGCATGTTCTTTCTCTCAGCCACTGAGACATTTTCAAGTTTTAGTGCCATGTACAAATTAAAATAAGTGGATATTTTTGATCTTCACACCTGGAAACTGTAATGCATTATTCCTGTGTTTTATTTCCTAGAGTAGTGCAGGAGGAGCTCACTGTTTCCCAGATCTTCGAGTTGGAGTATTCAAAGAAATTGTACCACTGGGCATTGATCCTAAAGAAGTCTCTTACAAAGAAACTGGTAAGTCGATTTTGTGAAAAATAAGAGGATCTCACCCAGGTGAGAGGTAAATGAGAATAAGGTATCTGCACAAAGAATCACTTCCTTTTGCCTAGTGGCCAGGATGCATGAAAAAAAAAAAAATACAGAAATTGATTTCTTACTAATAGTCAAAATTCATGGTATAGGGAATTTGCTAGCCCAGATTTTGGTTTCCTGAGTGTTTGGCTGCTTCAGAGAGCCTAGAATTAACAGCTTTTGTTTGTAGCAAATTCTAACAGTTCAAAGGACATCAAGCAGTTACCTTGTTTTGGGAAGGTAAGAACTTCATTCTTTCGTCAGGGAGTGTCATTGAACGCCTGCTAAAGTCAGTGTAGACTGAGATGAGGTGTAGGACATAGGAAGGATGCTCAATTCCTGAGTACATTTATTCAGATTATTTTGTAGGTGCTTGTGACTGCTTAGAATTGATAGGTGTGAAGAGCTCCAGTGCTTTTATTGTCATTAGCACGTAGTCCTTTGGATCCAGTGGATTCTCTTGCTGTGGATGCAAAGACCTGCATTTATCTTTTTTTTTTCTAGAAAGTGCTAGAATCCTGCAGGAGCTCACTCTTGAGTGTATGTATCTTTCCTCATTCGGTACTGTTGATCTGCCCTTCTTTGTGTTAAAGTTAGCAGCCACACTCCTGTCTGTCACAGCACAGCAGAAAGAGCTTCTGAATCAGATCCATGACAGCTCCTGACACAAACAACGTTTGTTTTCTGCTTCCTGTAAATGTTTAGCATGGATTAAGACCTGTAAGAGGTAACTTGCTGGGTGTCTACTCTAAGGACGCTTATGTAGATGGTAATGTGTTGGTAAAATGATTTATATTTAAGATTAAAAGGTCTGGCTAAGAAGTTACTCAACAAGAGCATTCCCTTGAACCAAAAGCTAACAGTCGGTGATTGCTGCATTTCTCCATTTCTGAGCTTCAATAACACTGGATACTTCACCCTGTGGGCTGTGTCAAGAGCCATCTCTCTCTTATTCACCGCTTGATTACTTGCAATTGTGGCAGTTTAACAAGCCACTGAGGGAGCCTTTCTTGGGAGCCCTTATTAACAGTTATTTGTTTGGAAAGCATCCCTCCCAGGCATGGATACGTGGCTTTGTTAGCACTGGAGTGATTGTTTTCCTCACCCCGTACTTTTTTTTTCTGAAATGGTGCACTGTTTGAGTTTCTGCACTCACATCACAGACAACAGGGGAGCAGAGGGGGCAGCTGCTGGCCAAACTTCCTCTCATTTCATAAAGCTCCTCTGATCAGTCCTAAAGTGTGTTACTATGCATGTAACAGTGTGCAGAGCACTGAAAATACCAATTAGCAGAGCAAGTTTGGACTTCTTTTTCCACCAGTATTTTTTGTTGGTGGCAAATTTCTGCAGCATCTTCCTGTGACTTCCCCTCTTTCCAGTGTTTTTCTGCCGTTTTGGCAGGGGTTTTTTTTGTGTTTGTTCGTTTTTTCCCCATTTCTAGGCAGTTTACAGGGTGGGTAGGAGGCTTTTCACGTTCTGACACCATGTTTGTACTTCTCTTTTTTTATTTTTTTATTTTTTTTAACTTCTGTTTAACAGTATTTTGTGGAAATGGTTTCCATCACCTTAATGATTTGCTTGTAGGGTTATTTTTTATATATCTTTTTTTAATTTTTTTTTTATATATATATATATTTTTTTATAAAAGGGGTTTTAGTGAATGAAGCTTTTTGTATTCCAGTAAATTGAGAGTTCTGAGTTCTGAGAAACCTGAAAGCAAAGAACTGTAAATCCAGGTTACGCTTATATTAGTTTTCCATTTTGATCAACAGAGGTGAATTTCAGGTAAGATGTTGCTTCTCTGTAAGCTTCAGCACATCTAAATGCAATGAAAGATGAGCCAAGTGAAAGGAAACATATTTTCTTATTTCTTTAGAGTTCAAAGAGTTGCTAGGGGGATGTAACAAACACCGTACAGACAGGAAAGTATCTGCTGCTTTTTCTCTCATGTGGAACAGAAATAACTGGTTTCTTTGGAAAGTACTGTAATTGGAAACTGAGCATGGATAAGCTTGTCTGGATGAGTTGAAATGATAACTTTTTAGATTGTCACAGAAAAATTTCTGTTTTAGCTTTTAGTTGGAAATCCGAGGAGACTCTGAATCAGGAAGATCATATATAATATTATATTGTGGTTCTGATTCTCAAAACTTTGTGGTTTTTTTTTTTTTTTTTTTTCTTCCTCTTTACTCTGAAGGAATCCATTTAACCCCTCAGGAATTTCACAGAGAAGTAGAACATTATCTGTCTCAGTCCAGTCAAGGACAAAGTGATACCATCTTGCTGGATTGTAGGAACTTCTATGAAAGTAAAATAGTAAGTGTTTGCTTGCTTCTTGCCGTGTGCTACAGATGCTGCAGGGAAGCAGTCCACACCTGGGGCATGTAACTTTGCTGGGGAGGACTGATGACACTAACTGGAACGTGTGACAAGCTCAGCTCCGCAGTGATGGTTAGATACAGGCAGTGGAACCCCCAGAATGGAGCCTGCCTGGCAGGGTGCTTAAACATCTTGGAGTGTGGAAAAGACAAAGTGGTTCGTAGAACATGAGTACAGGATATTGGACAGTGTGAACTAAAATTAGTATAATTTGTAAGGATATTTTCCTTGTCCCATATCTCGCAAATGGGGTTGTCCCACTTTTTGTATTCCATTTTCCTGCTCTTCTGCACTGTTACACAAGTAGTTCATCCCCTCTGTGACAGTTGTGTTCTGATTAAATTCCTCGTTTATGCTTGAATGAGAAGAAACATATACAGAATTTTGTTAAAGATTTTAACAGCTATTTCGATGCATAAACGCAGTTGAGGAGCATCCTGGAGTAGGTGCAGTGTTGGGTGTGTGCAGTGACCTGGTTGATCTGACCCAAAATTAGTTATTTCCTCTAGTCTGAGACACAAGACCTTACCATGTAAGAGAGTTCATATTCACGTACCTAGATGATGTTGTTTCAGGGACACTTCCAGGGCTGTCTAGCTCCAGATATCAGGAAGTTCAGCTATTTTCCCAGCTACATTGATGAAAACCTGAAGCTGTTCAAAAACAAGCGTGTCCTGATGTACTGCACAGGAGGCATTCGTTGTGAAAGAGGCTCTGCTTACCTGCGGAGCAAGGTGAGATACCATTCTGAGTGTGGGAGGGTTGAGGAGTTGAGACTGCTTCAAGGGTGCCTGTCATTTATTTTGCTGGAAAATGCTTACAAAAATAAACTGCTCAGTGTGGGGAAATGTTTGTCTCACATCTGCTTCATGGTGCCTGTCCAGGACGCAGGCCTTACATTGCATCTCAGCACAGTGCGCTACAGTTGCAGGAGTGAAAATAGTAACCTATTTCTTGAGAAAAGGTATATACTTAGAAGTGCCTTGGCCATTTTAGTGGTCTTTTAGGAGAGTTTGAGAGCATTCTTTAGTGTTTCTGCAAGCTCTTTCTAGCTCTATCTTGTTGCAGCACAGCTTGAGTGTTTCATTGTGGTGCAAGTCAGTTTGTCAGTGATTTTTCCAGTGCAGTGGAGTTGGATCCGCACTATTCTGTTTGTGCCTTCCATCCCACTGTTGTCCTGGGTCCCATTCCTGTATAGAGCAAGAGAACAGAGCACAGGCGTGTTGTCCAGACGTGTAAACCTTGATTCTTTCTCTGCTGCACCACTGTGAATGTTGAGAAGTTCTGTTTCTGTCAACAACTCACTACACAAAACCAAAATGAGCAGTGTTTACAGAGGTTCAAGTGTTTGACATGTGGGGCAGCAAAGCTCCCTCAGCCAATATAGTTTCCAGCCTTCTTTCCTTTGTTTTTTTTTTTTGAGTACACTATGAAGCATACATTTTGAATTATGTCAACAAGCCAGCATTGTGAGAGCTGCCCTGTGGCACCAACTAGATTTTTGTGGTGCTATCTGAGGGTCACTGAGAAACTGCTTATTTTCAGTGAACCCCTAATGTCTTCAGATCTGCTTTTGGAACTCTGGCATAGGCCCACTGCTACTGTCTGCTTCAGCATTTCTGCTATTGTGCTTTGAACAGGCAGTGTGCAAAGAGGTCTACCAGCTAAAAGGTGGAATTCATAAGTACTTGGAGGAATTTCCAGATGGCTTCTACAGGGGAAAGTTGTTTGTATTTGATGATCGTTATGCCATTTGTTCCAATGAAGATGTCATCTCAGGTAAGACTGGATAACAGAAGTGCAGAAGGATGAGAAGTTGTTGCAGTGGATTCCACTGAGATGTCTAGAACATGGGGAACCGGACGTGTCTGTGTGTTCCATCTTCATTCTCTTTGATCTCTCAGTATGGTCACTTTTCATTATGATAATTAACTCTGTGGTTTTACTCTGTGATTTTATGATTCTGAACAGTTTCTTAATCTGGGCAGTAAAATGAAGCATCATGCAGAGCTGCTGTTAAGTGGAGGTGTCAAACAGAAGTGTCGTTACCTGCTTGTTTCCCACATGATCAGACTACGGTTGGCCAAGTGATGGAAGCATTAGAGTTGTGCTGTTCTCAGTTCAGCTGGTCTGTATTCCAGTGATCTCAGAGAACATCAGCATAGTCTGATGGGTGCTGGGAAGGTGGTAGCACTTAGTTGTTTCCATGCTTGGATGAAGCCTTCTGCAGCTTGCAGAAGTGATTCTTCAGTGATTTCTACTTGAAGTTACTAAGAATTTCACTTAGTCTTCTGGCTGTGGTCACTCTTCAGCTATTTCAAATGAAATACCTGTTGCTGTCTTCTCAGTTGCCAGGTACTCATTTGCCAAGAAAACAGAGGAAACCTGGCTTTAGCTTTCCTTTAGGAAGCTGTACTGCAGTCATATGTCTGATCATGTCTGATCTGAACTAGAGGAAGCAACAGCTTTTTCCTTGTGGTAGGGTGACTTTTTTTACATTAAAATCAGAAGTTTAAAAATGAAGTATGTTTTTAGAAAATAAAACAAGGGTGGGGAGACAGTACATAGCCACTTAAATGGGATTTCAGCCTCCCGATGCCACAGAAAACTTTCTGCATAAGGGTCAGATGGAGCAATGGGGGTCTTAATGTGTTTGGTTTTTTTTTCCTCCTTGCAGCATGCAGATACTGTGGGACGCTGTGGGACCAGTATAAACTCTGTTCCAGCCAGCACTGCCGGCAGCTTGTCCTGACGTGTCTGAGTTGTCGCCAGAAAGGTCTCACAGCTTGCTGTCCTCTTTGTCAAGAGAAAGAGCTTCAGGCGACCTCAGGGGCTCCAGGACAGGCACTAAAGGAGGAATGTGAATGTACAAAGAGGCGGCCAAGGGTACCCATTGAACATATCTCTCAAGGGACACGGGGCACAGGAGAAGATTAAGCTGTTTCATTAGCCGATCTGACACTCATGCTTATTTGAAGGGCTTCTAAAACCAAATCTATCTGTTACTCAACTGGATTACTAAGAAATCACAAGTCTTTTAGCTTGGAAAGTCTTGTTTATAACTCACTTTAATATCCTGAAAAAAAGTGCTTTACTTGAACATATACACCGGAGTGTACAATCTATTACTAGTGCTGCTGGATTCCTCTCCCTGCCTAGTCTTGTAGCCAGGCCTCTACCATGGGGATTTTTCAGCAGAGGTTGTGTGATGGGACACAGCTGCTCACAATTTGAAACAAACTGAAGGGACAAAAAAAAAAAATCCACTGTTCTTCTTCCATGATGGTGGATCTTTCTGACCTCTCCATTAATTATGTATTTGCTGTAATAGACAGTGCAAGCATTATGAAGACTGCAGATTTATGAGTATCTGGCTAAATCACCAGATTAGAGTTGATGGTATTTTCCACATACATACCCATCTGCACCTACCTCTTGCTTTACAGTAGTGAGAAGCAAAGGGTAGTGACATGAAGTCACAGATTTAATCCAGCATAAAAGCTTGAAAGCAGAGTAAGGATCCCTGTCACAACTGCAGCAAAGGCAGAGGACATGCATTGCACATAGGTACTGTCTGCCCAGCTGTACTTGCTTATGAAGTGTGGTATGGCCAGCAGAAGTGATTCTCATTTTGATGCTTTTGTCTGCTGTTTAATCCCTTTGCTTGTGAGTAAGTGGAATATCCACGACTCAGCTCTGCTTGCACTAGAAAGAAATGACAGCTTTAAGCATGTTGCTACTGAGACACAAAGAGAGGGGAGGACAGAGACTGTCATAATACCGGTTATGGCAGTGGAAGTGGTGGTGATGTGTGTGTGTAAATGTCTGAAAAAGCAATAAGATTGTTACCCACGTTAAACAACTCAAGATGTTGGGAGCATTTGTGCTTTGCAAATACAGGTGGAGACAGAACAAGGTTTTGTGTTGAAGTCCCTTCAACCTTTCCTTGTCTTTCTTGTGCTGGTGACCACGGGCCTGGATGCATTACTCCAGATGGGGCCTCATGAGGGCAGAAGGGAACAGTAACCTCCCTTGCTCTACTGGCCACCTCTCTTTTGATGCAGCCAAGGAAACAGTTGGTTTCCTGTGCTGGGTTGGAATTAGCTCATCTTTGAGGTCCCTTCCAACCCAGGCTGTTCTATGATCCTCATGGCCCACTCTGCCTCCAGGTTTAGCCTCTTTAATGAGCTCTCCTGCATCAGTGAGGACCAGATCCAGAAATACTTCACCCACTGCTGGTCTGTGTAATATCTGGACCAGGAAGTTATGCTGAGTACACTCTAGGATTGTGGATTGCTTACAACCTGCTGCCTTGTTTTCCCAGCAGACATCCAGGCGGCAGTTGAGGTGCCCCAACTGGATGAGATACTTCAAACACAATGCTTCTTGTAGACGATGTGAGAAGGCCTCATCAAGAGGCTTCCCTTGATCAGGAGCCTGTAGAAGACACCAACCACCAGATGCCCTTTATTGTTCTGGTCTTAAATTTTAACCCCACAAGCTCTCAACTTGTCCATGGTTGTTTTTCAGAGGCAGCTCTTTGCCATCTATCCATTTCTTAACGTAGAACGGCAACTCCTTCACCCCTCCTTCCCTGCTTACCTCTTCCAAAAAGCTTGTAGCCCTCAATTTTAGTGTTGCACTTGGGTGATTTGTCTCACCACGTTTCTGTGATAGCTATTAAGCCATGGTTTTCTAATTGCACCGTGGCTTCCATCCTACTTATTTCCCATGCCGTGAGCATCGGAGTGGACTTCAGCTTCTTCTCAGATTCCTCTGAGACAAATCTGAGGGCTGATTACTAGCTCTCCCATGTCACAGGTTGGACATGCCTGATCTATACTTTCTTTCTTTTGATTCTTTTATGCAAGGTCTGCGTGTGGAAATAACCTCTGCAAGGCTTGTAGAATTCTGTCTAGTGTTTCTGAGAAGTGGCTTAATAACGGGTAATGGTACTTGTGCAGGGGAAGCCACTGCACTTGTGATGCTGGAACGGTTTTCTGCATAGCCCTAAGAAAATCTTCTATTTTAATACAAGACTTTATACTGAGATGAGTGTCAGTGAAGGGCACGCAGGCGTATCAGCACCACAGGGTCCAACAGGTACTTCAGCTAGCTCATCAAGTAGAGTGCCCAACCGTGGATGTGAATCTTGAAAATTTCCTTCCAGCCTCTTCACCTGGCAAAAAGTACAGCTCTGATCAAAGTATTCAGGTCGTCATAAAGTACGAGCTCTGGAATCCAGTCTGCTGATGCCTTTGTTTACTGCAATCTCCCTTCCGCTGTATCCGCCATACATAAGTGCCAGAAATGTTAGTAAAACTGAGCTATGAATTTGATCTTGCTTACTGGACTGGACAGAGCAAGATCATCTGTCTTTGTCAAAGAAAATAATTGAAGGTCTCATCCAAGAGGCCTATAAACAAAGCTGTTGTTCGGATTCTCCTACCCATTTACTCGGGTGGTTGGCATCTTTTCTCCTAAAAAAGGCTATTTTCTTGCCACCTTGGCTATACCTGTTAGTGCCAGCGAAAATCTTCAGCAGAAGCTGGAGCAAGACTCTTGGTTCCCCGGTATCTTACCCCGCAAAGCTTAGCTGGCCAGTTCAATTCTGGTGAAGATTGGAATATTAATGGAAAAATATGCAAGTTGTACTTGCAGGACTGATCTAGAGCACTGGTGGAAGTGCTCAACTTGCATACAATACTGGAGATCCTACCTACCTCAGAGTCACCTGTTCTGGTTCTTGCTGCACTAAGGCAGAGGTGGAGAAGGGTTTGAAATGTGCAGACAGAGGTTCCCTCTGCTGCATATAGGTGAGGGGAAGGGTAAGATGCATGCTTAGTCCCGTGAGCAGCCTTTTTATCCTGTTTTCTGCATTGCTTTTCTGAGATTAATACAGGTAAGGACTTGCTGTGTGCTGGTGGTAATGCCTTAAAGAAGACATGTCAGTTCCAGGGTAGGTCAGTGAGGCAGGATTGGCTGCAGTCACCTAGTGGCTTTCTTCCTTTCTTGCTGGAGAGCTGCTAAGATGAAACAGTGATCCACTTGATCCTAAACATGTGTTTTGTAACTCCACTGCTGCACAACTTGATGCCTTTCATCGCAAAGCCTGGTGCTTCTCAACACAGCCACATCTCTGCTTCGCAGTGGTTGGCTCACTGATGTTCTCTGACATGCCTCTTCAGCAAAGCAGCTCTGTGAGAAAGACCAGCTGAGTTACCAGGGCTGGGCCCATCAGCCTAACTGTGTTTGGACTACATGGGTAATGTGGATGCTAACTCCAGCAGAACGGGAAAGGATGTTTCTTAAAAGGCTTTTGTTGCTGAAGACTAAACGCTGCTGTCACATCCATGACAGTGCTGCCTGCATCTCCTTGCGTGTCTGGGTTGCTGGGTACCATAAGGGTTCCCAGGGGAAGGTGTTCATGCAGTTCTGAAGTGGCTGGGGCTGGTGAGCCTATTCTATGTGTATCTGACTATAGAGCAGAAAGTATTTTCACTGTTGCTGTTGTCATGTGGTTGCTTTGGATCAATTGCTCTTGATAACAGTAGGAGACTTTAATCTCCTAGAGTCCTTTGCAGTCCATATTTGTTGTTCATAAATGCTTTGAGGCACCGGATAAGTCTACATTGATTCTTCTAATTGATATTTTCCTGCTGTTTCTTGTCCAGAAGCCTTTCCAAGGCATCCAACAGAAGTCCAAGGCCTTCATGTCCAAAACTGTCAGCCTAGCTGGTTAAAGACACACTCAGAGACTCGGGACAGTTAAGAAGCTTTTCTTCAGCTGTTCCAGATTGCAGTTCATGAATGTACTCTTGCTGAGGACAGGGCACACTCACGTTTACTGTTTTTCAGTCCATCAGATTTGGAGGGTGCAGAAAGGTACTTGTCAGCCATCCCACGTTTTGTGGACAAATCCTTGTCTCTTAAAGGAGCTTTAGAGAGATTCATGTCTTCCATCATTTTCTCAAAAAGATCCGTAACTTCTTTTTCTGATAACGTCATGCAACGTTCGACAACAAGTGCCTGGCAAGTGGAATTTCACTTATTGAGTGTCAAGGTTCAACAAGTGTTCACTTGTTGAGTGTCAATAGGATGCTGAATTAGAGGTTCCTTTTCTCTCACTGCTCATTTCCTGAAGCATGTAATTCTGTCATGCAGCTTAGGTCTGTTCTGGAACTCATCTTCCAAGGAACACCCACTCCATTTTGTGTTCATCCTGCTAGGGCCCAGAGAGGCTGTGGATGCTCCATCCCTGGAGATCTTCAAGGCCAGGTTGGATGGGGCAGCATGGTCTAGTATTAGATATGGAGGTTGGTGGCTCTGCGTGTGTTGGGGGGGTTGGAGCTTGGTGATCCTTGGGGTCCCTTCCACCCCAAGCCATGCCATCATTCTGTGATCTGAGTAGATGGCTCAGCTGAAACTGTGACTCTGGTTTGATTAATTAGTTGAAGTTTTTGCAGCACATATGGTAGAAAGATGTTTTCTGCCAGTTTCTTTTTTATTGTTTAATATCTTCAAGCCATTTTCTTATGTATTATTTTAATTTTATGAAATGGGACTTGCAGGCCTGGGGGGAGGGAGGAAGAAGCTATAGGAACGCATTTTATTTGGCATTGCTGGCACATTTATTAAGCTTTGAAGAATGACAAATTTTCCCACACTGATGGAAGCACAGTGTTTCTCTGCTCTGTTGGCCAGAGCCAAAGTGCATGATGTTTGTGCACAAGCTCTGTAGAAATCTGGGGGGCTTTTGCTGGAGTATGTGTAGGAAGCTGCAGAACTACTTTTAACAGATCTGTGCAGGTAGGTTACTGTAGGCGAGAACTCTTGCTAGGATGTGTTGTTGTCAGACCAAGAATAAGGCTTTTGCACAGCAATGCTTTTGCCTGGCAAGTCTTCCTATGGTCGGGATCCTAGCAGGGATGTCGGATGGGATTGTCCTGGGTCCTCTGCTCTGCGTGCCTGGGAGGTGCGTATCCCCAGGGGGAATTACTCCTCTAGGAACAACAGAGAGGCTTCAGGCTGTGCGCAGTCTAAGTTTAGAGTCAGGATATTGATGTTTGTTAGCAGCTTTCTGAGGACACGGTGTTTAGCCTTGCATTTATGCCTATGCACATGTTAGGGGTGGCATTAAGCAAAACAATCTGCAGCATAACAAAATTGGATGGACGGGGTCATCTTGATAAAGCAGCAAAGAAAGGGGATTTGACTTGTTTCCAGTGAGAATCTGGACGTGCACTTTTAAAGTCATGAAAATGTGGGGATTAGAAGAGAATACTCTCATTTACTGATTAGTTTGGCTATTTCAGGCCAAACTCAGGATTTGCATCAGATCCCTAAAAGTGATGTTTTTATTCAAATACACATATGGGGTAGAATGATGCTAAACCATTCTCCAGTGCTCAGTTTTTGAGACTCTTATTTCACAATTGGTGGCCTTAAGTTCAACTTAACTGCATGGCGATGGGGGGGGATCAATCTTTTCTAAGAAACATGGGGATTCATTTGAGAAGCAGCACCTCCAACTAACTGACTCGGCAGATGTTGGTTAAAAAAAAGTACACTTTGCATTTATCTAATTTAGCCATGTTTCTGAATAGTAGAAGTTCTTGTTAAACTAGTTGCTCCTCTACAGCTACTTGAGATCATTTTGGGGAAAAAAATAAAGTATTTTTCTAATACTTCTGTAATTTGTGTGGAAGAGTTGTATCACTCACTGTACCACATGCTGCCTCCGTGAAACACTGTGCAGAAGGTTTATAGAAAAATGAGGTCCCAGGTCACTGCAGTTACTTTTACACCGGGGTGTACGCTCAGCTGAGGTTGCACAACATCGGCAGGTTACTGGCTTGAATAGTTTCCAGCTCTACAGAAAACATCAACAGTGCTACTGGATAAAACTCTTCAACTACAGCCACTAGTTACTTTAAACTGTTAGTGCATGAAACAGAACCGAGGCACCACAAATAACTCTCTTGAGGCACTTCTTTGCCTTTAGGTTGTCACAGTAGCACAGACCCGCTGGGAATGACCTCCGTGGCTGGCAGCTACACTCCAGTTCTGCACTTGGGAAAAATAGGCCCGTTCAGCTCGGCGAGTCTTCTCTTCCTCACTGAAAAAGAAGAGGAGGAGGAGTCAGCCGTGGCAACGGGAAGATGTGAGTGGCTTCGTCACTGTAAGAAGGACACTTTCTGCCAGGAAAGATAAATTACAGCATGAGCTTCCACATTCCTGCTTCGAGCAGCAGGTATGGCCCTCCTTACAGAGGTTAAGGATAAGGAGAGCAGGCTGAGGTTGCCGTCACGTTCTTACAGTCAGAAACCACTTTCAGCCTTTCTTCCCTTACTCTTCAATTGCAGCTCATGCAGCTGACTTTGTAATCTGACTCTTAAAGAAGATGTGTGATAATGGCTGATGGGAAGACAACAGATCGATGTCATAGTTCCTTTTTCTTCTAGTTTCTCCCCATCAAATTGAATATACAGACATATATACTTTTTTTTTTTTAAAACTAACAACTTGAGTTTTCAGGCCTTTGATCACAATTAAGTT